CCAATCTTCCTTCTGAGGAGCTGTTCAAATAATTTTAAAGAATTGATTATTCTATTAGACACTCTATTTTCTGTATCTCAAAATAGTTTATTACTAAACTCCTAGCTCCAGATGTTCTTTCTCATCAGCTCCTTGCAAAATGATAAATTTTGGAAGCTTTCTCTCATTATTCTGAATTTTACATATTTTTAATTAAACTTTTTGTACCTAATCTGAGGCATTTTTAATGGCAGTGTTCATTGTGATTGTAAAATACTTTACATGTTTATTACTGCCAACTTGTTCTTCATTACTTTGCCTGGGAAATTATGGATTTCCTTATCAAAATCTATAGTGTGCACTATAGTCTCATTTGTCTAAGGTGCTTGAAGGTGAGACGTAGTTTAATTTAATGTGTTTTCTAGCTGCACGATTCTATAGTTCTTAACCTTTGCAAGCCCATTGGTAAGGTAATGAGATTCCCAAGAGGCTGTTTAACATTAAGAATCAGCAAAACTGCAAGTTTTACAGATCACTTTCTTTTAACTTACACAGTTTCTCTGTGAAGTATTTGAATTACGGTGTCAACTGTTGTCAAGTCAAGGACTGATCAATGAGAAATTCTATGTAACTTTAAGCCCTGATGTTACTCTTTGAGTGGAAATCTGATTGAATTTAAAATTACAGTTTATTACTTTAGACATGAAGGATAAAATTACTTGGTCACTTAAAATACAGTGTTCACTTTTTTTTCCCCCTCTATATATTTCAGCCACGGCCATTGAAACCTATATTTCCAATTTGGCTCTCATCTCCCTCCATGAGAGCATTTTGGTGTACTTTCCTTGTATTTTTTCTGACCTCCTGTCCCCATTTATTTCAGCACCTCTTTTCCAGTTTCTAATCTCTGTACGTTACAGCAAAGAAGAAAGCCCGCGGAACCAGGTGCTATTCCATGGGTGTTAGCCTCAGACGCTGAGAGCGAAAGCTTACTTTATTACTTCCAAATTTAGTTGTGGATGAGGCTTAGCTTATTGCCAGTGGAAGCAACATATTTTATAGGAATTCTAAACTTATGTTCTACATTTTATGTTCTCCGAACCAGACCAAACTCATTGAGACATCCATTGGGTTTCCGAGGGATAAATCTTTACAGAAGTAGATTGCTTAGTCTTCCTTCCGGAGAGTGGATGACGGGTTTGAACCTCCAGCCTTCTAGTTACCAGTCAAATGCCTCAGGCACTACGCCACCAGAGCTCCTTTTTCTTTATGTTCTAGGAGTCAAAATTACTATAAAATAATTAAGTTCATGTCATTGGAATAAAACCAACTAACTAATTGTCATCAAGTTGTTTCTGCACTCACAGCAACTCTTTAGGGCAGAGTAAAACTGCCTATAGGATTTCCAAGGCTTTAAGCCTTTATGGGGGAGTTCTGGTGGCATAGTGCCTAAGGCATTTGACTGCTAACCAGAAGGCTGGTGGTTCAAACCCACCAGCTACTTCTCTGAAAAAGGTTGGGCAATCTACTTCCGTAGTGAAACCTCCTCAGGAACCCAAGGAGGGGTCGCTATGAGTTAGATCTGATTTGAGGGCAGAGGGTTTTTTTTTTTTTTTTTGGTTTTAAGCCTTTATGGAAATAGGATCCAGCAGTGTTTTGTTCTATTATTCTTTCGATAACTGCCACCTAACACTTCAACTCTTTTGTTTCCTGCTAGATCTTCTTTTTCCACCATACCATCTATCTTATAACATACAATATTGATTTATTATTTCAGTTTATTTTCAGTGGGATATATGGTCTTGGCAGGTATCACTGTCCATTTAGTCAGTGATTTGTTCTGTCATGGATTATAATGAGTTCCCCAAACTATGTGTCAACCTGGCTGCACTATGATTCTCAGTGGTTTGGCAGTAATGCAATGATGTAAGTTGGCAGTTATGCAAAGACATGATGATCCCTGTGATGTAATCTAATGTGATTAGCAAAGCAGTTGTAATGGTGGATGCAACACCCTTCCTCAAGTCACAGTCCAGGTCCAATGGAAAAGGAATTTCCCTTGGGTGTGACTCAAATTATTTTTTATCTTACAAGAGATAGAAGGAGTAAGAAGCAAGCAGAGAAAGAGGGACCTGACTAACACCAAGAAAAAAATCTGACAGCAGAGCATGGCTTTTGAACACAGGGTCCCTATGCTGAGAAACTCCTAGACCCTGGAGAAGATTGAGGGTAAGAGAAATGAAGATCTCCTAGGGACACTGGGCCCACAGACGCTGAAAGGAGTCAAGAACTTTCCTCCAGGTCTGACAGAGAAAGCCTTCCCCTACAGCGGGCATCCTGAATTGGAACTTCCAGCCTCCTAACCTGTGACAAAATTAATTTCTGTTGGTTAAAGCCATTTACCTGTGCTGTTTCTGTTACAGTACCATTAAGATTACTCAGTCATGCCCTCAAATACCTAGAACATCAGTTGACATATCAAAGCTGCACAATAAATTTGCTGTATAAATTGAATGACTAAATGATGGTATAAAACATGTAAATTTGATTCAACAGTAAAGAAATGTGACAAAATTCACATACATTTTGGTACTTTAACATGCTCCTTTTAGAAACTGACAAAGTAGAAACAGAATTAAAAGCATAAAGAATTTCAATGTGGCAAGTATAACAAATTGAATAGACTATAATTCACTGATTTACCTACTGTGGGACATACACTGAATATCAAACAACAATATTAGAAAACAGCATTAAAATTATACCCTCAAACCATAAATTTAAAAACACTCTGAAATTATTTTTGAGTTAAAGAGGAAATCAAAATAGAAAGTACAGACTATTTAGAAGCGAACAATAAAAGTTGTCCATATTAAAGCAGTGTCCTAAAAGATATTTATAGACTTTAATTTGTTTTTTATAGGAAACAAAAAAGGCTGAAAATAAATAAATTTTTTCTTCGTTTATAATAATGTTGCTTAATGACCCAGTTGTGAGGACTTTGTTTTCTTCCTGTTGAGGTATAATCCATATTGAAGGCTGTAGTCTTTGATCTTCATCATAAGTGCTTCAGGTTCCCTTCACTTTCAGTGAGCAAGGACATGTCATTGCCAATTCTGATGCTGCATTCTTCTTCATATAGTCCACTTTCCTGAATTATTTGTTCAATGTACAGATTGAATAAGTATGATGCAGAAATTAAACCTGAAGTTACATCTTTTCTGATTTTAAATCATGCAGTTCTCCTTGTTCTGTTCCAATGACTCCCTCTTGGTCTCTGTACAGGTTTTGCATGAACACAATTAAGTGTGTATAATGTACATCAGTTGTAAATATTAGGCAAAAAATTTAATTGAAAAAGTTGAAATGAGAGATATCTATCTTAAAATCACACCAGACTCAGTGAGCTTTTTATCAAGTTCTAACATTCAGGAATCCAATTTTTTTTCTTTTAGACTCAAATAAAAAAAAAGATAGGAAATTATTAAACTCTTCTTTTGGTATTGAATTTAAATAGGAACAGGAAGGAAAAAAATATGGACCAATGCTACTTATGAATATATATAAACTGTCTAAATAAAATATCAAATATCTATTATATGGCAATCCTACTTCCGTAGTGATACTGCCTTGGAAACCCAAGGAGGGGTCGCTATGAGTCGGGGCCGACTCGACAGCACACAACAACAACAACAACATTATATTAATAAATCATTATAATCATCTTAGGTTTCTTCTAAGGATGCAAGGATGATTAAAAAAATCTCCAAAACATATACTGGTTACTATGTATCTCACTGCTATCGAGTCGGATCCAACACGTGGTAACCCCTCCTTGGGTTTCCCAGGCGGTATCACTACAGAAGTAGATTGCCCAACCTTCCTTCCAAGGAGTGGCTGGTGGGTTTGAGTCTTTGAACCACCAAACTTCTGGTTAGCAGTCAAATGCCCTAGACACTATGCCACCAGAGCTTCTACTATATACATATATATAGATATTCATAATCACAAACAAATGGTTATAATACCACATATTATATGTGTGTGTGCAATTATAAAATCATAGATAAAGAACTGGAAAGAAAACATACCAAAATGGTGTTGGTGGTGTTGGTGGGTGTGAATGTTGGAATGTCAGTAGAGACTATATAATAAGAGACTATAAACCATTTTTATTTTCCAAATTTTTAATTATTTTTAAGTTTTGCTGTTGTTTTTCTGAAGACAACTGCACTTGTTTCATTTCATGTGACTTAAAAACAAAAAAGAATTATCACGATCATTTATTACTGACACTCATGTCTTTGCAGTGAAGATTCTAGTTATTTAAGGTTTTTTGAATATACTTAAAATGGTTAATTTAATGTGCTTTTAAAAGAGGTTTTTTTTTTAATCTCTTTCAATTCAATTCATTAAATAAACATTTATTGAAGATTGAAAACATAGTTGGGTAATTTGGAATGCAACATTGATTCTTACCCTCAAAGAGTTATTTATTTATATTTAATTAGAGCAAATCAACCAAGCAACAACTACCAAAGAGTCTGGTAGAGACTGTGATAAAGTTACTCACTGATTGCTGTAGGAACAGTGACATAGGGAATGTTTCCACCTGTCCTGGTTACAGTCTAAGGCTTTATTGTATCATGTACAAATTACAGGAATTAAAAAATCTTTTGGACTTGGAGAAGATGTGTATGTATATATAGTATGTAGTACACACAGAATGTATGAAATCTTTTCATAATTTTACATGGCCTCTGACAATCTCAGCAGCACTAATGATCTCAGTTTCCACATCTACAAAATGAGAAAAATTCACTAATTGTTCAACTAAATATCATTTCAGCAAATCATGTCTGTAACAGTGACAAGTGAAAACAAAATTAAGATTGGACAATGTGTCGATATTTGTTCTGAAATGTCTCAGCTACTGAGAGTGTATAACTACTAAATTAATAGTATGGGTACTCTATGCTTGCAACCCTACACAGGTGACTTTTTATTTTATATTTCTACAGAAATTGAGAAAGAAAGCTGTGGAGATCCTGGTACACCCTTATATGGAATTAGAGAAGGAGATGGATTTTCTAATCGTGATGTTTTAAGATTTGAGTGCCAGTTTGGGTTTGAATTAATTGGAGAGAAATCCATTGTTTGTCAAGAGAATAACCAGTGGTCTGCAAACATACCCATCTGCATCTGTGAGTACCAAATGCTTTGCTTGCAAAGAGCATATGTTACCCTGTCCTTGATACAATTGCATTTGAATTAATTGAAAAGAGTTGGAACTGAGTGCTTATTTTTGGACGAATAGCACTTTTTGATACTATCTTTAACAAGTGTGCTTATGCCAAACTATAAATTTCATTACAGATTTAAATAAAGTTAACATAGTTCACTGGGTAATTGCAAAGTATATATTGCATGTGTTCCTGCGACAGTGGCATTTTATATTTTACAGATAGCATAATTCTTATGGAAATTATACATCTAAGCTAATTCTAATAGACTCACTTATTTTAATAAGATTGTATGTGTTTATTTTCAATCAGAAACATTTAAAATCTTGAAAGTTTATATTCTATGTATAATGCAACAACTTAGTTTTGCTTTTAGATGCTCACACTAATGCATACTTTATTTACATGGCATTTGTTTATATTGCATAGAATGAAATTCATTAATGTTTGTGATATACAACATGCTTGAATTAAAATAATATATTTTCCAAATACCTTTAAATATTCCAGTAGAACTGCAATAAAACATAATTTATATTATCTATCGATGCACTTTCAGGTTCAATAAATACTGTCTTTATCACCAAATAATATGACTTACCAGCTGTGCATTTCATATTGAACATTTTACACTTTAGTTTGTAATATCCACACATAATAACACATTAGCTAATAATCATGAAAGAAAATATAATTTTTTGGTTTTAAAACATAAGTGTTTTCATCTAAGAAAGATATAGAGAGTTACATGGGCAGTACAGACAACAAATATGAACCCTTTTGCATATACAGTACTGAGTTGTCAGTGAAAGCAAACATGGGTATAGGGACGGATAGATAGGTGAACAAGCTAAACAATTAGGTATGTCTAAATGGAGAGTGTATCCAAGATCATATATAGGGTTGGCAGACAATGGGCCTATAAGTTCATGTGAATGATCAGAATTCCCAGGTGTATAGCAGAGCTGACAAGGGGCAAGGTTATGGTCATTGCTTGGTCACAGCCAGCTACCCAGAGGGACCGAGTAGTTGATCCTGCGGGCTTGGGACCATAGTCGCAGGGGACATCAAGCTCAATTGGCATAACATACTATACAAAACATTGTTCCACCTACTACTTTGGCGAGTAGCGACTGGGACCTTAAAAGCTAGGAAGCTGCCATCTAGATGCAACAACGGGTCTCTCCTCGTCAAGAAGAAAGAAGAAAACCAAAATTAATGGAAACAATCAGTCCTAGCGACTGGTACACCATCCGATCTGCAACCTATACAACTATGAGACCAGAAGAACTAGATGGTGCCCAGCTACCACTGCCATCCACTTGGAAGGGGTGTAGGAGATCCTGCATAAAGAGGGAGAACAATGTGGAACAAAACTCAAAACCATTTGGAGGCAAAAAAAAAAAAAAAAAAAAAAAGGTGGGGACCAGGTTTGCTGGTCCAATAGAGCCTGGTGTAACCACTGAGACTATGGCCCCTAGCTGCCCTTCAGGTCTGGAATTGAACCCACAACTGTGGTTTCCAGCCAAACAAAGTACAGGCATGTGAGTTAAACATTTACCTCAAGTAGACACACGCCCTGGAGAGAACAATCATGGGAGAAGGAAGGGCTGCTTATGCACAGGGAGATAGCTCAGGGTGCAGAAGAGTATGAAGGGATGGACACTGGGAGGAGGTAACTATGGGGAGGAAGTGGGAGGGGAGCTGCTGCATTGTAAATTTTGGTCAATGACATGAGACAAAGTATATGTGAACTGCTGTATGAAAAGTGAATTTACTCTGTAAATCTTCACCCAAATCCTAATAAAAAAAAAAAAAATAAGTGTTTTCATCTATGTCCAACTTATAATGATAATGTCTTTCGTTTGTGAAACACTTTATTCCCTACAAAGGCATTAGCACAGATTTTGTTTTAACATTTTTATTTTTCAAAAAAAATAGCATTTTTGAGACCTATATTTCATAGCCATTTTATTTGAATTACAATATGTGTTGTAATCTATAACTGTTTTCCTTATTGAAAACGTTTGATTATTTAACATTTTTAAAGAAGTAAATGAGGATTTTTAAAATGTTAATTTATGTGACAGGAGGCCAACCATTTCAAGTAATAAAAAATAAGCAATTTTCTGACACATAGTAGTGAAAACAGGAAGACAGAAAAAATAGCATGTAAGCACTCGTACCAAAAAACAAAACAAAAAAGAGCTGGAAGAAAATGTATCATTGTTTTAACTATAACTTCTGAGTTATAATTTTATTTTCTGTACTTTATCCTTCACCTTTTTTCCAAATTTCCTACCATGTGAATATTTTAACAAAAAAAAACTGGGAGGTAGTAGGTGAAAGGCCTTCATTCCTTGGGGATGAGAGCTCTTCTTTAGCTACTTTCCCAATTGCCAAACATCAGCACCCACTGGTGGCTATTTCTAAAGTTAATTCATCTCCTTATATTTATATGATATTTTTATCTTCAATTATTTAATGGCATTTTTATTTTCTATGGAAACTACATACATTTGTTTTATATTATTTATTAAGTACAGAAACTAAAACTTTGTACAGCATTCTAACATGAGCATGATAAATATAAAAATAGATTGCTGTTACTAGTCCAATTACATTTTTGTGCCTATTTAATCATATAGTCTTAAGTTTATCTTTTCTAACATGTGAAAAATGGTAACAATTTCTTTCTGCACAATTGAGGGATGAAGGGAGGGTGGAAAAAAGGAAGGAAATAATGTGAGTGGTGATATTTAGGTCGTTGAACAATGCATTTATTTTCTTTTTATACTTTTTGTTTTTTAAAGTTCTACTATGGTGAATCTGTATTATTTTACAATTTAAAAAACTATTTTAAGATGCTTGAAAAGGATAATTTACATCATTTAATATTATCACAAGTCTTCTTGATTTTCTTAATTGTGAAAGATAAAAATGAAGTAACTATTATCTTTAAACATTTACTCTCTTTGGTAACCTCCCTATTTCCGACAGTTCCTTGCCTCTCTAACTTTACTGCACCGATGGGAACAGTTCTTTCTCCCGATTACCCAGAAGGGTATGGAAATAATTTAAATTGCATCTGGACAATCATCTCCGATCCCGGGAGCCGCATCCACCTCTCCTTTAACGACTTTGATCTGGAATCCCAGTTTGACTTCCTTGCTGTTAAAGATGGGGATTCGCCAGACTCCCCAATTCTCGGAACCTTTACTGGGGCTGAGGTGCCTTCCCATCTTACTAGCAATAGTCATATATTGCGACTGGAATTTCAAGCTGACCATTCAATGTCAGGACGTGGCTTTAATATCACTTATAACAGTAAGTTTGTTTTATTTTCCCTATAACATATTTCTTCAAATTAGAACTACAAAGGGATCATGCTCTCTTGTTTCACAAAGAAGGAAATAGGCTTATACCTTCAGCAAGTCATATACCTAATTGTACCCGGATGGTCATTTAATCTTTGATTTCTGACCACATTTTACCATTTGTTCTGTCATTTATTTTTGTTACTAAGAGCCCTGCCATATAGAAAAACTCAAAACTATTATGCATCATATACTTTGTTTTGTTACTGGTATGCGAACATTAGAAGAGATAGATCTTTCTTCAGTATGTTCATAAATCATAAGGTACTTTAAACAAATAATAACCTAACAGAGTGATAATTCTAAAGACAAAATACGTAAGGTTGCAGAATAATCACATAGAAAAAAAATCATTAGCTTTGGGATTCTGGAGCCCAGAGCTGACTTAGCAAACAAAGTCTCTATGGGGGAAAAAATACTTTAGTGATTAAGAGTATTGGCTCTGAGGTCAGACCATGCAATTTCAAATCTTGGCTTTGCTGCATTTTTAAGTTTTACATATGAGCCTCAGTTTCATCAGGAAAACCCATTGGATGGCTGTTAAGACAAAATTAGTTGATTCAGGTAAAGTATTTAGAAGAAAGTACATATACCCATTATCCATTGCTGTGGAGTCTATTCCTAATCATGGTCACATTCCTTGTAGGGGACAGAGTAGAACTGCTCCGTACAGTTTCAAAGTCTGTAAATCTTTAAAGAAGCAGACTACCTCATCTTCCTGTGGCAGAGCTGCTGAAGGGTTGGAACCACTGCTTTTTGATTAGCAGCCAAATACTTTAACCACTACACCACCAGAGTTCCTTAATAGATTACTTTAAACAGAAAAAAACAAACTCATTGGCATCTAGTCAATTCCGACTCTTAGTGACCCCCATTGGGTTTCTGAGGCAGAAAATCTTTATGGAAATAGATTGACCAGTCTTCCTTCTGCAGAGCGGCTGGTGGGTTCGAACCACCAACGTTCTGGTCAGCAGTCAAATATCTTAGGCACTACGCCACAATAGCTCCTTTGCTAGAATATTTAATACCTAGTAAATGATCTGTAAACATTAAGTGTTGTTTAGCTAGCTTTTGAAATACAGCATTGACTCCTTATATTGGCTTGCTATGGTTATTATATTGCTCTATATTGGAGATTTTTTATTTCACTGTTGTTTGGGAGCCTTGGTGGTGAAGTGGTTCAGTACTAGGTGGCTAACTGGAATTTCTACAGTTTGAATGCACTAGCCTCTCCATGGCAGAAAGATGTGGCAACCAACTTCCCTAAAGCGTTACAGCACTGAGAAACCTAATAGGAAAGTTCTACTCTGTCCCACAGGAGCTCTGGTAGCATAGTGGCTAAAGCACTTGACTGCTAACCAGAAGGCTGGTGGTTCAAACCCACCAGCCACTCCTCAGAAGGAAGGTTGGGCAATCCGACTATCCGTAGTGATACTGCCTCGGAAACCCAAGGAGGGGTTGCTATGAGTCGGGGCCGACTCGACGGCACATAACAACAACACTCTGTCCCACAGGGTTGCTAAGAGTGGGAATCTCCAGGCAACAGGATTGGTTTGGTTGTAGTTTATTAGTCATAGTCTTTGTTTTTAAAAGGATGAATTTACTGTTTAAATATGACATAAATATAGCTAAAAGATAAATCACATAGAGAAGAAAATATGTTAGTGGATTAATGTACTTACATTCTAATGCTTCTGCTTACAAATGTTTACCTGAAGCCATAGAATGCTGATTGATTTTTATTGATTTCCCTTGAAGCTCTGTTAGATATTGACCAACTTGATGAGTTAATATTTATGTCACATAACAATAGGATTTAGTTTCCAGCTCTTCATATTTTCTGTTAAAAAAGAATTGCACCCCCACTGAGGACCCATTCAATGTTGAGTTTTGGCAATTAGTAATAAAATGCAGTTGTTGTCTCTTCAAGTGACACTGGCAGTGGTGAATACTGTCACTAACAAGTTGTTAAATGATGTGTGATTAAAGAGTAATCACACATCCTTAAAGTTAAATTAATTGTGACATGTGTCAGAGACTTGCAGTATAAAATGGTTGCTTTACCGGAGAGTCTTATTTTCATATTTCATATATATAGATAAATACATGTATGAATCTATCTATAATTGCAGTTTTCTTAAGTGCATAATACTTTTAACTTTAATGTTTATGGTATTTTCAGGATGTTACACAAATGTGACTCCAAATTACTTATTCTTTTTCTCTTAAATAGCTTAATCCACCATGTGCAAATAATTACATTTAATGCTTACTATTATGATCCTTTTATTCTGAAATTGCGTCAGTTGAAAATTACAAGTAGGAGCAACCAGGTTTAAACAAAATTGTGTATTTTCTGAAAGCACAAAATAAAATTATGATTTGAAATAACTGTACTCACAAAATGTATTTTATATATTTAGAATTTACATTAAATATATTTTTGTGCTGTTTTACTCAACAATGTACATTTCATGATTAGTCATCCAATGGAAGAGAATGGATAATAAAATTATGTAATTTGTGCATGATATCAAAGTGATGATTAGTGAGAAAATTGAAAATAAGTGCATGTTTCCACACAATATGAATATAATGAGAAATTCTGGTGGCGTAGTGGATAAGGCACTTGACTGCTAACCAGGTCAGTGGTTCAACCCACCAGCCATTCTGCAGAAGCAAGATGAGATGATTTACATCCATAAAGACTTACAGCTTCAGAAATCTGATGGGGGTTACTATGAGTTGGAATCTAATTGATGGCAGTGAGTTTGGTTTTGGGTTTTTTAATATTAAGTTGTAGAACTCCCAAAATATATTTTATAAAATTAGACTTTGCTACTTTAAGTACTTTTCCATTTATATTATACTGATTTTTTTTATTTTAAAAATAATTTGTTATATATGAGATGAAAGTTTACATAGCAAACTAGGTTCCTACTTGTGGTAGTTAAAGTTGCATGCCAGCTTGGGTCGGCCATGGTTTGAGTGTCTGGGCAGCTGGATTCAGTTATTCCCCATGATAATATTGGAATCAACTCCATGGTGGAATATGCTATAAGCAGCTAATTACTCACCTTCGGTCTGTGGCCTCCTTCAAATATATATGGGGAAGTTTTGAAGAAGGTCTATAGCTTTTGGCACAGTTGCATCCCGTGGGTGGCTGAGTCTCCATCTCACTGGCCTGTTGTGTTACTTGCTGATCTTGGGATTGCTCCTGGTCCTGAAACAACAGTCTGTCATGTACTATGTTGATCATGGCATTGTGCCATTCTGCTTGCTGACCTTGGATTCATCAGCCTCAGCAGCCAACAGCTGCATGAGTTACAAGAAGCCTCCACCTCCAATGAGCCAGGAACAGGAGGCAGAGCTGGATCCCAAGGTCAGGGGACTTCCACCCAGCCCTCAGAGCCAGCACTCTGAATTTGGACTTCTAGCCTCCTAAACTGTGAGAGAATAAATCCCTGGTAAAGCCATCCACTATGGTATGTTTGTTATAGCAGCTCTAGAGAATCAAAACACCACTTAAAGGTTTTTATACAAATTGTTCTGTGATATTGCTTATAATTTTCCATTCTCATTATTTCCATTTTATTTGTTCTATTTCTACTTATCTAGCTTCTCTATTCTACTTTGCCTTCTCATCTTTGCTTTTGGGTAAATATTGACTCTTTCATCTTATATAGTCGATTGTTTAAGAGAACACAGTCTTCATTGTTATTTATTTTGTAAATCTTTGTTTTGGCTGAAAATTGACCTCTAGAAGTGGCTGCAATTCTAAATTTAAAGAGTGTCTTAGGGAGATAGTCTCAGGGTTTTCTGTAGTCTCTATCAGCCCAGTAAGTCTTATCTTCTTTAGGAATTTGGGTTTTGCTTTACATTTTTCTCCCATTCTGTCCATTCTATTGTGTGTGCATCTCTGGTCAGAATGGTTGTAAGCAGTAACCAGGCACCATCTATTTCTTCTGTTCTCAGTCTAGAAGAGGCCATGGTTAGTGGACTACTAATCTTGTGGACTAGTTTTTTTTTCTTGGAGTCTTTGGGTTTCTTCATTCCTTTTGTTCCAGAAGAGTAGAGACCAGCAGTTGTATCTTAGATGGCTGCTACTCATTTAACTAGGATACATTACACTCGTTAAAAAATATATATATATATATAGTACATAGTTGGTCATCCAGATGAGTAAAGATAAAAACTTGTATGGTCATACAATTACATAATCCATAACAAATTCAAATAAACATGTTGTCATTATACTTCTGCTACATGCTTACATACTTAGTACATAAGTATATTAACCTGTTAACATATTGTCTCCTCTGATATTTATCTGTAGGCTATATATACACCTCAGGAGAAGCAGGGCAGAGAATGTAGCTATCCTGAATGCAAGAACTCACATTCCCCTGTGAGACGTAAGATAAATAATGTGAAATGCAATATGTTGTAGGGGAGGAAATGAAAAGCCAGACCAGGGAATACATTTAAATTCTATCATAGTCTATCTCTATAAACTGCTGCAAGCTACTTAACTTTTACTGAATCTCACGTGTCTCTTTAGGGTAGGTAGGATACTTTCTTCATTAGATTGCTCTAAATGTTAAATGAGATAATAGCATACTTAAAGCACACATTACAGTGCCTGGAACATGGTAATTACAAAAAAAACATTGATGGTAGAATATAAATAGCATAGAAAATTATGAAGATATTGTATGACTTTCTTTCTAGACAGAGCATAATTCTCACAGTAAGACTATTTTGCCATTCCCAATAGAGTGAATCATGAGAAAAATTTCCTGTGGGATATAGTCAACCTTCTCTGTATTCACATTAACTGGAATTCTAACCAGTTTTTATAGGACATTTTTAAATAAATTAATCATAAGGATCTCTAGAAATAAGCAGAAACAATTCTATATTTAAATTGTGTAACCTTAGAGTAAATTCATATTTTAAAACAATAAGCCCTATTACTCATCACAAAAACAAAACAAAACAAAAAAACTCACTGCCATTAAGTTGGATCTGACTCATAGCGACCTCTCCTTGGTAGAAGTAGATTGCCCAGTCTTCCTTCTGAGGAGGGGCTGGTGGGTTTGAACCGCCAGCCTTCTGGTTAACAGTCAAATGCCTTAGGCATTGTGCCACCAGAGCTCAATCACAGGTGAACAAATATGATCAGAGGACAACGTCCTTTTTTAAAAAATAAATAAGGTAAAGGATTTCTAAAAATTAACATAACACTTTTGCAAACCACATTTTCTCATCCGAAACACACATGAGTCTTTCTCTTCTCATGGTGCTTGTTTTTGTCCTTTTTGTTTCTTTGTTATCTGAAGCATTTGGACATAATGAGTGTCCGGATCCTGGAATACCAATCAATGCACGACGGTTTGGGGACAACTTTCAGTTAGGAAGTTCAATTTCAGTTATTTGTGAAGAAGGATTTATTAAAACCCAGGGAACAGAAACAATCACATGTATTCTTATGGATGGAAAAGTGATGTGGAGTGGACCAATTCCGAGATGTGGAGGTAAGTAAGTACCATGATCAATTAGAAATAAAACCCATAATTATGCACAGAAAACGGCAATTAGAAATGTATGCTCAATCAGAAGAGTTGTTGAAATCTTTTTTTATCTCAAAATATTACTTGATATTACACATTCCATAAATATAGTTAAGCTAATTAAACTTTTAATTTTTCATGTTAAAATCATTTTTAAAAACATTTTGAATTTCCCTTTACAAAGGAATTTTATTAAAGGTGTGCATTAATAAATGACAAACATTGGTTACATGTGCAAACTCCTTTTTTAAATACCTTTTGTAGTTTTTAAATGGAAACTATAAAGTATACTGAAGTATGTTTTTCTCAGTATTTTAGATATTCATGGTATGAACTGATTTAATTTTTAAAACTAAATACACAAGTATTAATTACAGTAAAGAAATAAATATATGCTAAAGCAACCATATATTGGAAATGTGTAGTTTCTTTAAACTATGGTTTGTTAATTTTTCTTCAATTTTTATTTGCCCAATAAAATGTTGTTAAGAAAGTACATTATTCTATGTGTGTGTGTATGTGTTTGTGTGTATAACATATATGCAGTGTTTGGAAGTATTCATCATTGTGTATATACACTCATATAAAATAACAAATTACTTTGGTATACAGGGTTTTGGTTGTACTTAAAAAGAAAAATATATTAAATATAAATTGTACCAATTTAAAATATATAAGAATTTACATGTTGTGTGTTTGTGTAGACTTTCCAGATGATCCCTCACTTACAACATATTAGAGTTACATGAAGTGCATTTGCTATCATCCTTTTGATTTTTGATACATCTCATTTGTAATATGTACTATGAACAATGTTGTACACATAATTTCCTGATATTATTCTCATACCAACATCCAAAGACAAATAAAGATTAGATTTATAAAGATATTGATAATAAAAGTAACTAATAATGATAACTTGAAAAAATAAAAGACATGTGTTGTCTTAACATCAGAAATTTACAACAGCTTCATTGTACTGGAATCCTACTTGGAGACAGCCTGTATTTAGAATTGATGTAGTAGGAATAAAATCCTGAATTCTACTCTTCTCCTTCTGCTTTCATATCTAAGGTTACCTATTTTATTTTTTTCAGAAAGACATAGATGGAATGGTTTACCAAGAAGTAAATAATCTATAGGAAACGCACTTTAATGACCTCTATGTAATAATTAAGTCATTAATTTTTAACTGTTCTCTTCTTTTTCTTGCTTCCCCACTTTGTTTTCTTACTTCTGTCCAAATCGACAATGGAAGCGTTTATTTTCTCAATTTTTAGCTGATACAGAAAGAATATTTAAATATATGTCTTTCATAAGGATAGCAGAGTTCATTAAAGAGTGTGGCTATTGATTAAAAAACTCTGTCATTGGATTGAACTACTTATAATATTTCAGGGATGAAATAATCCCAGACCATGCAGTTATCTTTCCTATTAGCCCCTTCAATTAAAACTCTCTCTTCCCTTTTTCTAATCACTTCCCTATTTGTAGTATCAGGATTGAACTGAACGATTCCAGTATTCTTTTCCAAACCTCAAACGTTAAGGGGGCTTAATAGGGGCTACCCTGGCAATAGTAACGACTGTGCTTTAAAAAAAATCAGCAAAAACAAAACTTCATAGAGTTGTACAATAAAGGACTGAAATAAAAACAGAGAAAGGAGAAGTAATGTTCAAATTTTCCATCATATTTGGCCTTTCTGCTCATTCATTCATTTATCATAGGTTCTGACTCACAATTAGTAGTCACTCAGGAAAGCCTACATTAGCATTTGAAGAAATAAACAAGCAAACAAAAAAAAAAAAACAGAGAGAGAAAGAGAGAAGATTGGAGAGAAACTTCTTTCTGGTGAAATTGTACATATTCAGTGTGACTGGAGTGGAGACGGAAGGATGGGGTGAGCAGTGACCTGACACGGCTGACGCATGGCATGTTTGTAAATCATGTGAAGTGGCATCAGACTGATCCCGTGGCTGACGGGGAGCCATTCCAGCTGGGAGGTGACAGGATCTGAGGCTCTCTCACTGTCACACTGTGAGTTATTTTCAGTCTCAGAGAATAGGCACCAGACACAGAGACAGCTTACTACTAACTATTCAATCTTGTTGGATCTTCACTTGACTACTTGAGTGTTGGTTTGGGCACTGCTTGGTTCTGAGTTGCATGGGGAGGCAAAGATAATGATACTGGTATCAGCAGAAAATTTTTTGAATCACTGTTTAATTTGAGAACAATTCCAGTGAGTTTCTTTTTTTTTTTCCTCCACTATTTGTGAAGAATTAATAGTATTTGATTTTTAAAAATAAGTAAGACAAACCATTCAGAACTATAATGTAGCACAGAACAATACAACCCACAACCAAACCCACTGCCATTGTCGATTCTGACTCATAAGGACCCTGTAGGACAGAGGAGAATCACTCAGGGTTTCTAGGCTGTAAATCTTTATGGAAGAAACTTCCTCATCTTTCTTCTGCAGAGTGGCTGAAGTTTTCGAACTGCCAATCTTTTGGTTGGCAGCCAAATGTTTTAACCCCTGTACCACCAGAGCTCCTACACAGACTAGTAGACCCTCTAAATAACCAGAAGAGGACTTCTAGGCTCTTTACGTAGGAGATTTGCTCTGTGAGTGAAGTTACACACAGTTAGCTCTTCTGCTAGTTTCTGGATCTGAATACTAATGTGGGGTTATAGTTAGCTAGAGAAACTGAGTGGGGTGGAAGCAGTTTTGCCACGGTACTCACCAAGATCCCTGACATATCCCAGAACTGCACTTGGAGCCAATTTCTACCCAACAAAGCAAGCTGTTGTCAACTCCTATAAAATTAACAGTGTTTTTTTTTCTAAAACTCTAATTAAGGTTCTTAATGATTTCCTTTAGTTTTGCCTCAATTTTACTTCAGTACCAACAACAAAAGCCTGAGGCTAGCTGAGGGAACCTTTTTTTTTTTTTCCCCTCCCAGAAGTTTTTCTATAATTCTTTCCTCTGACTGTTCCCTAAACTGCTACAGAGCCAATTCCTTTTACACAGAGAACTGTTTGGGGACCCTCCCAGCCTGTCTTCTTTGTTTTTCAGATATTCCTTGTATGTTGTTGTTGTTGTTGTTGTTGTTATGTGCTGTCCAGTCGGCCCCGACTCACAGTGACCTCTCCTTGGGTTTCTGAGGTGGTATCACTAGGGAAGTACATTGCCCAACCTTCCTTTCCAGGAATGGCTGGTGGGTTTGAACTGTCAGCCTTCTGGTTAGCAGTCAACTGCCTTAGGCACTATGCTACCAGCGCTCCTATTCCATATATAGACCGAAGATCTTTGCTTATTATTAATTTCTGTTCATCTTTTAGAGTTCGAGATAAGCTAACCATTTTAACTAAAACATTTTTATCATCATGTTAAACATTTACATCTAAAACCAAACCAAGCTCATTGCCTTCAAGTGGCATTCGATTCATAGCGACCCCTCCTTGGCTTTCTGAGGCAATATCATTATGGACGTAGTTTGCCAAATCTTTTTTGGTTAGAAACTTTTAACAGTATGTGTGAATTTGGAATACTTCATGTAAAGAGAATAAAACAAAAGTAGAAAGTCATGTGTATTAATTAGACTCTGTAAACATGTAGATCTTTTAAGTTCATCTATGTGAATGTTTAGGATCTCTGGTGGGGTAGTGCCTAAGGCGTTTAATTGCTAACCAGAAAGCTGGCAGTCCAAACTCACCAGCCACTCCTCAGAAGGAAAGTTTGACAATCTACTTCTGTAGTGAAACCACCTTGGAAACCCAAGGAAGGGTCGCTATGAGTCAGGTCTGACTCGACAGCACATAACAACATCGACAATGGGTATATAGGGTCACTATGAGTTAAAACCAGCTCCACAGTACCTAACAACAACAATGGGTATTGTGTGTTAAAATAATAATAATAATAATAAAAGTTATTTGTTTTAATCAGAACTAGTAGAACAAGGAAAGTATGTATACAATGCCGTGATTAGAAAAATTAGAATCTAAACCCACTTAAAATAGTGACCTCCCCCTCCTCACTATCACAATAGTCTTAGAAGTTAAGGCATATTGACAGTTTAGTAATTCACCATATTAATCAGTCTTCACTCCCAAAACTGGAAAATCTTTGAGAAAAGTGGAAGGAAACTTTTAACCTGCCGTAGTTCTCAGATAAGAATTGTTGAGACCCAAATGGAGAAATGTGGTCATAGTGTGTTGCAGTTCTCTGATCCTCCTGCTGAACTTAGATTCATTTCAGAAAGCTTAGATATAATTGTTGAAGAGAATTGGGTTATACATTTTATTCACTGACCTGTAGTTCAACACTGATGCATTAACAAAAGATAGATTTGGGCTATCTTTGTGAAAATTTGAACCTCTTTCTCAAGAATGGGTTGGCTAAATCTTCCCATGAGGAAGAAATATTAGATAATTTTTAAAGCTGTGAAAGCTTTCAGATCTGCTAATGGAAAACAAAGTATCTTTGCTACTATAATCTGCATTGAAGTCATTTCCCTCTGAAATTCACAAAATGTCATCATAACTCAGTTTAATGACAGTCAATGAAATGACTCCTTCACCCACGCTTTAGACGGCAGCCTGAATATAACTGGCTCTACCTAGTGTCAGTCCCTGCATGGTTTCTTCTTCAAAGAAACATCAGAAAGCCAAAAAAAAAATAGTGCAGATGGTTATTGTATATCTCCTTTATTGGGCTGACACACAGAATTTTGCAGAGTGCCATACAGAAAGCTTCCTAAAACCCCGCTCCCTCTCTCTCTCCCAAAGTTTCTCACTCATTGCAGCTACTTACAAAGTTCTACCTCTCTCACCCTGCAGTCCCTTCATGACCATTACTGCTGCATTTGTTAATTTTGCTCTTCTGCACAGTCCATGGACCCTGTTTGACAACTGTAAGCCTAGGTTCAGCCCCTAGAAAATACAGTTTTCTTGAGAAT